TTTAAATCCAACGTTAGAACGTTCCGCGCAATTTTTCACCTTAAATTAATGTTAATAATTGTTCCCAATTCGAAGTGATGCTTCGTAAATTAATTGATAGCTGACAGATGATATGGAAAAGAAAAACGTTTGGGTCAAAATTTAAAATTCCTCAAAATTTTCCTTTAAATAAACGTGCGAGTTAATAAATAAATTGATAGCTGATAGACGATATGAAAAAAGAAAAACGTTGGGGTCAAAATTTCCCCTTAAATAAACGTGCGAGTCAATAAATAAATTGATAGCTGATAGATGACATGAAAAAAGAAAAACGTTGGGGTCAAAATTTCCCCTTAAATGAACGTGCGAGTCAATAAATAAATTGATAGCTGATGGATGATATGAAAAAAGAAAAACGTTGGGGTCAAAATTTAAAATTCCTCAAAATTTCTCCTTAAATAAACATGCGAGTTAATAAATAAATTGATAGCTGATAGATGACATGAAAAAGGAAAAACGTTGGGGTCAAAATTTCCCCTTAAATAAACGTGCGAGTCAATAAATAAATTGATAGCTCGTAGATGATATGAAAAAAGAAAAACGTTGGCGTCAAAATTTAAAATTCCGCAAAATTTCCCCTGAAATGAACGTGCGAGTAGCCACAGAGTCTGGAAAAGATCAGATTGAGACACGCGTCGTCTGCAAAAGAACTTGGTGTGGTCGCTATCTAGGGGGTTAATGACGTTGTCCGCGTTCGTTCGCTCGAGATACAAAAACCTATTCGCCTGGCTGCGAACAATCGCGTACACGCGCCATCCGACAGACGATGAAAGGGCGCTCCGTTGCAAGCGGAATCGGCTCACAGAGTTTGCCCGTAAACGAGCACAAACACAAGAGGCTGGCTAACCTTTGCGCCAGGCTGAGTGGCGTTCTAGCTTTCTCGCGGCGATAAAACGCCAAAGATAAAATGGCTGGTTTACCCGTGTGCCTTCGAGCGTCTTGAAGCCGGTAGTCTCCTCGCCTGCCATTTTCGAATATCCACGATCATCTCCTTTCTTTTTCTCCTCCGTAACCGTCGTTGCATCAGGGTGTTTAGAAAAGCTCATGATTCTGATTCAAGTATTGTGTCACAAGTTTCGGGACAAAGAGCGCAGCGAAAGGTTTGCCAGCTCATTCGTTGATTCGCACTACTGCCCGAATAAAATCTAAATACTTTCTCCACAAAATCTTGAGAAATAAACCACGAACGACGATTCCATCGCGCATGAATATTTCAAACGTCCAAATAAATATCATTTTCTCTTTCGTACCCCGTATGTTGGCAATGAGAGAGATAGAGGGGATTATATAGGTCATTCTAAGTGAAAAGAACGAACTCATTGAACTCATTGACGTTCCGAACGGCGAAGAAACCGATGGTTGAAGTATGTTCGAATATGCCACGCCCGCTCTCGTCGTATTTCCTTCGCTCGAGTGGTATTTTCTTTTTTTTTTTTTTTTATTTTCAATTGCAGCAGCTACGAGCCTCATTTATCTATCCGGCCTCGTTCAAGGGTGATCGACATTTTGTTACAAATTTCGCTCGATGTTTTAGCTCGTTTGGAGAGATGAATTAACGCGCGGGGTTTTTTGATTTTGCATTTCGTTGAAATTCGCCGAGTTGATTCTATTCAGGCCTCTCTGCCTTTGTGTGTATGTGTGTGTGTGTTTTTTTTTCTTTTTTTTGAAAACAGAGTCCGACAAGATGGTTCTTGAAGTCAGGATCGAATGATTTAGGTCGCGGTTCAACAAACACGGTGGAGGATCAAAAATTTAGAGGCATTATAATATACAGAACTTGCCAAAACTTTGTTTTAATTAAACGTACGGGAATAATAACAATGATAGTATCTACATAATTTAAACTATTCGTAAACTGGTCGATTCTTAAACTCCATACAGCAATGGGTATTAAAAAAGAAAAATTTGAAGACAATACAATATCCGAGAAATATTTTCAAATATTTCAAATACTTAAATAAACGTACAAAAATAATAATAATAATAATAACGACAGTGTCTGCATAATTTAAACTATTCGTAAACAACTGGTCAATCCTTAAATTTTACACATTAATAGATATTTGAACAAAACAAGAAAAAAATTTGAAAACATTATATTTTCGGGATTTCTCGAATATTTCAAATACTTAAATAAACGTACAAAAAAAAATAATAATAACGATGTCTGCATAATTTAAACTATTTGTAAACAACTGGTCAATCCTTAAATTTTACACATTAATAGATATTTGAACAAAACAAGAAAAAAATTTGAAATATAATATTTCGGGATTTCTCAAATATTTCAAATACTTAAATAAACGTACAAAAAAAATAATAATAATGATGTCTGCATAATTTAAACTATTTGTAAACAACTGGTCAATCCTTAAATTTTACACATTAATAGATATTTGAACAAAACAAGAAAAAAATTTGAAATATAATATTTCGGGATTTCTCAAATATTTCAAATACTTAAATAAACGTACAAAAAAAATAATAATAATGATGTCTGCATAATTTAAACTATTTGTAAACAACTGGTCAATCCTGAAATTTTACACATTAATAGATATTTGAACAAAACAAGAAAAAAATTTGAAAGCATTATATTTTCGGGATTTCTCAAATATTTCAACTATTTAAATAAACGTACAAAAATAATAATAACAACGATGACAGTGTCTGCATAATTTAAACTATTCGTAAACAACTGGTCAATCATTAAACTTCAAGAATAATAAAAATAATAATAATAAAGACAGTATATAATTTAAACTATTCGTAACCAACCGGTCAATCCTTAAACTTCACACGCCAATAAGTATTAAAAAAAAAACAGAGCACTCTGCGACTCCATACATAGTTCTATTAATCAGCGAATATACGCAGCACGAAACAAACTGTAACAGGCCACTGTCAACCGTCAGTTCAGTCGATCAATCCGAAATGTTTCCCCATGAATCGTAAACAACTCCTTGCTGTAACAGCCCGGAGGCTAGGCCAACAGACGGCTTTTGTCGATCGCGGTCGCCGCGTTGTTAACGATTCCCTCAAGTGGCAGGGACAGGGAATTCGTATCAGGCCAATGGTCGTTTCTCATTAACGTGCTTCCGCTGGCGCGTCTGGCCGGCGGAAGAAAAGCAGCGAAAAAAATGTCATTATCGGGCTCGGTGTCTCGTGAAACCGGGACAGGAGGAGTCGGCGTGGCGCGGTGTCTCGTTACGCCTTTCCTTCCTCGAGGAAGTTCGACGCTCGCCGCTCGAAAGGATCGTCGAGGGTGGTGGTGTCCTTTCAGGCCAGCGGTCCTTAATTAATCTGGAAATCGAATCGGCTCGAAGGAAGAGGAGCCTGTGCATTCTCGGTCGATAGGTCAATATCGGTACACCGGGCTGCTGGATGATTCAAGAAGGGGCTGCAAGAGGAGAGGGGGAGGCTAGCTCCCTCCCGACTGGATTTAGATTTCCCGTTTCAACTGTTTACCGTCCGCTAAATCGTTCCCCTCTCCTTTCCGCCCTCTCTAATCGCTTTTATCCCGGCGGACCCTGTTATCGGCGAGGAGCCGCGATCCTCACGGTCCGAGGTAATTCACGCGGAGGATCCGCGCTGTCGGAAACGAAGGTTGGCGGGTAACAACAAAAGCGACGCGGCAGGAAGAAACAGAACAGAAATCCTGTATAACTCAGAACGGAAATTTAGTGGTGTACTAGAACATTTATGGTGTACTGCAATTTCTTTTTGCAAATGTTTCCAAGTTGGTTCTTCTTTTTTGGTAGATCAAACGCGACAGTGATTTAACGATGTCAAAAATTTCTCAAAATTCTTGACACTAGCAAAAGTGTGGTAAAAATGACTAATTTATAATTCTGCATGGAAATTTCACATCATTTATAACGTAGCGTAGTTTTAGACGTATTTTTAGAAGCTGTATATACAGAATGGGAATTTGCTGGTCTACTAGAACATTCATCATGTACTATATTCTTTTTTTTTTTTTTTTTGAGAATCTCTATCGGTCAAACGCGACAGTGATTTAACGACGTCAAAAATTTCTCAAAATTCTTAACACTAGAATTACCAAAAGGACAGCGGTCCAAATTTATAATTTCCTATGGAAATTTTACATATTTACAGCTGCGTTTTTAGATACTCGAGTGATTTTTAACGAAATATATTAACAGACGCTTGTATCACTCTTTCTTGTACCTTTGCGTCTTAATCTCTTTGCTACAAATATAATACTACACTTTTTCGTCTTTTTCGGTAGTTCTAGCGTTAAGAAACCAATTTCCCACCTCCAAACGGAAATTTTCAATTATCGCGTAGCAACTTCAAAGGTGCAACGCCAATGTAGCATTTCGTAGAACGAGATATTTCTGGCAGCGTGAAGTACGTACGTTTTTGCAGGATGATGGCCACAAAGGTTAAACAAGCAGGGAGGAGTGGAGGGAGAAACCGACGGTATTTTTTAGCACAAAGGACGTAACGACCTGGTTACAACCGCGGGACCGTGACGTATATTTTCTAATTAAGCCTTTTAAGAATGAACAAGTCTGGCGTGACTGGACGATTTTAGCGAGAAGCGATAAGATTACGAAACTTTGTGAGAATTTTACTTTACGCTGCCGCAATGACGCGGATAACGGAGCCAGATAGCGTGCTCTCCGGCTAGAAGCGAGTTCAAGCAATTACGTAAAACATCGAGTGAATTAATATTGCGCTCTGAGGGCTACGGTTATGACTCCAGAAAGAGATAAAGAAGGTTTTGCGAGAAATAGTCAACAGTAACCGATACGTCGCCACGTTTAATTTTTTTTTGTTTGTTTTAACTCTTACTCGTGCAAGCTGTCCAATTTGAAAAATATTTAACAATTAGCATACAAATACGATTTCTTACCTGATCGAAAAGTCCTAGGAGATTGCGAATTGTGATTGCAAGGTCGTGAAATGAAAGATGGTGCCGACAAAAAGATCATGCCTGACGTTTCTCTTTATTGTTTGAAATGTGTCATAACGATCAGATATGGATCATGTAAAATTACAATAAAACGTAAATATGACGAATTCATCATCGTGTATACATATACGTATATGTATATATATATATATATATAATATATTTATATATGTATATATAAATTCTTGTACGCCACCAAAAAAGATGCGTCGAGAGACCCAAGGGAAAAGAAAAGAACGACTCAATTATCCCGAGCACCATAAACTTGAATCACACTCTGCACTTCGATCGCTGCCAATCGATTCAAATTTATGCCTGTCGTCTTTCGATTCCAATCATTCATCCCGGTTCATTTCTTTTTTTTTTTTTTTTTCTTTCTTCTTTTTAATGTTCGATTTCCGCTTTACTTTCACCGTGTTTGCCCCCATACCCATCCCCTTCCACCTTTCTTCTTAATTACAGATTACCGTCGTAAATCTAATTCACAATCATACACTATGTACAATGATTCGCGTACCGCGCGAACGACTCGCCGTTCCAATTAAATTATATTGCTATAGCAGTTCCCCCCTCGTCTTTGCCCTCCGCCCCTCTTCACCACCGTCGATATATACTTTAATCACACGCCTCACTTATGCCTTACTTTTACTATCGCGTGCATTTCGTTCGCACGGCGTGAAATTCCTTCGTGAAGCTACGTGCATACGTTAACGAGAGCAAACGGAACAGAGCGGCAGCGAGGAACGAGAAAATTAGAAGAGCTCGAAAATTTTCCCCTTTCGGACTTCTTCGTCCTCCTTTATTATTTTTTCCTTCTTTTTTCTCGTGTATCATTAAACGTTACCCGCGACGGAAGTTAAATGTTTCCAACGAGAACTCGCGGGTGGCAGTGGACAATGAGACAACGTTGGCTCAAATAGGAAAAGAACTGTGAACTCCGCGAAATCAGTCCCCGAGGTCTTCTCTATCAACGAGAGTCTTTCGTACGTACTGAGCTGAGGAAAAAAAAAATGAAATCGACTCGATTTGAGAATCAACGAGCTCGGAAACTTAAATTAAAATAAACTCTTCATACTCGGAAACTTTCACCGCGTGTGTCGGAAATTCGCGTCGTCCGAGATTGTTCGCATGTTCGCGCGAACGAGGACTTATCCGCGGGGTTCGTTGAGGAGGCGACGATCCGAGGACAGCTTCCGAGACCGGACGACCGGGGATTAAACGTAGGGGAATGTTAAGATACCGTAATTGAACGACCGTAGTAAGAAACAGCAGACGGTGGCGAGCACGGATGATGGAAGGTTGACGACGCATCCGGATCTGGGTGGTTCTTGCGCCAGTCGTTGATTGCTGGCAGCCAGCGTTGCGGTCTCCGTTCTCTCGAACGATTTCGCGCCCACGATCCCCGGCAAAGTGGACTGACAGCCGAGCGTCAAAGTTCCTCCGGGGAAATGCTGTCGTTCGAGGTGCAGAGTCAGACCTAGCCGGCTTGAGGACACCATGGTATCCTCCGTGGAGCTCGAGCTTGGCAATTCCCTGGTCAACACTTGCTTCACCTGTTGATGACACACGACGATAGTGAGAGTGACGGGTGATCCTCGTCTCCCCGGGCTGATGAAATTCCATGCAAGGACTGGAGGGATGACTGGGGGATTGAGAGCAATTAGCAGACGATAGATTTTTTTCATCGTGTATCGTTCCTATCCTTCTTTTGTTGCCACGTTTGTTTGAACGCCCCTGTCACCCTTTTATTAGCAATTTACGAAAACCCTACACTGTCCAACAAACATTTCGAGGATGAAAAAAAATTACAAATATATGTACTTGTATTATACGTTGTAAAGACACTTTGGAAAGCAGAGACTTGAGCTGGCGAGCACAAATTAAAAAGTCGAAGACGAACTCGATTTCAAACAATTTCAATTGTAGTATAAAGACAAGTATTATTATTTATATTTACAGTGACCTATATCCATTAATTTTAATATAAATGTTTGGACTTTTAAAATTTGTCGCGCTTGGGTCCTTGTCACAACTAATGTAGTACAAAGGCAAATATCATTACTTATATTTATAGTGACCCATATCTATTAGTTTCAATATAAATGTTTGAACCTTTGAAATTTGTCGCGCTTGGGTCCTCGTCATAACTAATACGTATCTAATCTTGACCCTAACACTTTTTACTCAACATGGACACTGTTCCATAAACATAGAAATTCACGAGCAATTAATTAACGTCGTGGCGTTGACACCAGACCAACCGTTCTTTCCACTTCGCGGTCGAGGTAAATTTAACAAGTTAACTTTTCGCCTGCTCTTTCTTTTCTTTATTTTTTTTTTTTTCTCTAGACACGAGAAAATAGGAAAGGCGCAGTAAGGAAATTTAAAAGTATCCTCGAGTCCAAGACTGACGGTTTTAATTCCTCCCAGGAAGGAATGTCCCGGGGAAGAAGTTTTTTTTGAAGGGGGACGCGAAAACAGTGAACGAGCACCTTTTAAGCGGTGCTCCCATGATTTTATATCCCTTAGCTGGCGTTGAATTTGCAATTCAGAGGCATCGCGCGTACTCTGAATTTCCCCAGAACTTCCCACTTTCAATCCTCTCCGTACCATTCCGGCTCGGAACTCTCGTTGTTCCACGTTGTCGCCGTTTACGACACCGTCAATTTCGCGAAACCACCCCCATAAACATAGACTGGGCGCGGTCTCCACCCCCGTCCAAGTTTCCACGTCAGTTAATTAAAATTTATTAAGATTTTTTTTTCTTCTCTTCTTTCGAGCGTCGCCGAGTTTTTTTTTTTTTTTTTTAATCCAAATCGAGAAATTTCACGGCCGCGATATATATTATTATTCACAGCTTCGTTAAAAATTTACGCGTGTATTTTATTTGCGAATAAGTTTGGGAGAAATTTATCGGTGAATATTTCACGTGCTTTTGTTCGCCGCGCGTTATAAGGCATTTCTGGGCCACGTCTGCATCTTTAAACTGGTCGTAAATGTTTAACTACCCGTAGTCTAACTATCATTCGTAGTTTGAAACAGGCACGTGTAAATAATTTAATAACTTTTGTTAACAAATATCGAAAACAATGTTTGAAAGTTTCTCCAAAAGTGATTGCGCGATGAACAATAAACAATCCGGTTTCAAAATTGAAATTGAACCCTAATATCAGAAATATTCGATCCTTAATTCAAAAATAATACACGCGATATTCTCTCTCTCTCTTTCTCTCTTTCTCTATCGCCGCTCAATCAAAACAATTTAATATTCATTATGGTTTTCAATTTAAAATAATTCCACTCGAATAAATACCGTTTCCATTTCCATGCAGAAAAATCTCCAATTAAAAAAAAAGAAAAAGCGATATTAAATATCCATGTCCAATATACAGGACATTTAATATACATGTCTGTCGCCAACTAATTCTTTTCATTTAAATAAATGATAAAAAAAAAAAAAAGAAAAAATAATCCTTTCCAGAGAAATGGAAAAATTGCGAAAATAAAATGGAATACGCATTACCGATCTGATCTGAAGGTATAAAATAAAACAAAAATCGATATTAGGGCTCGAAAAAGTTAAGAAACTTTTGAGTAGGTTCTAGTTGATACGCATGGAACTTTTTCGAAGAACGTTCGTGACGAGAACAGAGAAAATAGGAGAATAGAACTCGTATAGAAATAGAAATTTCTCTGAGGAACGGATAATTCGTTTATCGATATTAAAAATGTTCTCAATATTTGTAGCAAATGCTGAATGCCATATATATTGATTTAATTAAATATTCTAAAATAACTCCTATGGAACTTTTGTTACACAGATTCTAAATTATAAATTCCCCGAGAACGTTGTTTAGAAATGTTTCTCACCGCTCCGAACGATCCTTTCTATAAAAATTCTATAAAAACAAAACTTCTGAAAAGAATATTCAAATACGAACAGAATTCTTTTAAAAACGAAAAGAGCCTAAATTATACTAGAAATTGCAATTTTGAGGTTATCAAAGAGTCGACGTCGACTAATAGTAAAATAATAAAATGTCAAGAAAAAGAAAAAGAAAAAAAAAACGATAGAAGAAGTAACGAAGCGGAATCGAGTGATATTTATCGCGAGAAGCGATCGTTTGTCAAGAAAAGGACAAACACGGAGAGAACACGTGCGAGGAGAACACCTTTCTGGACGATACATTAGGAGCAAGCTACACCGTATTTCATATTGGGTATCGCGCGATCAAACCGGCCGCCTGCGCCGGCACAGTTTTATAGATAATAAATGTTTATACTCAGCGAGTAGTGCGTTAAGTCTTGTGAGAAACGGGGGGTTAGAACGCTCGCCCGTACGTAACGGTGTGTCGGGAGGATCCAGCCGGTTTTCAACGAGTTAAATCGAGCCGGAATTTGCAAGAGGAATGGCGGCGCAACTTGTTCCCGAGCTCTATCCCCAGACCGATAAGTTACGCCGAACAACGGAAAACGGAGAACTCGCGGGTGCGTTGAAAAAGAAAAAAAAAAAAGAAAAAAAGAAAAAGAAAAAAGACGCTGGGAACTGTTGAAATTTCAAATCGAAATCGACGGAAGAAATTCGACGATAATAAATTCCTTCGCTCGGTGTCGATTTGACCCGAGTTGGCAGAAGTAGTCTTCGCGTGTCTAAGCGAGATTTAAAAAAAAAAAATAAAAAAAATAAAAAAAGAAGAAATTTCAGGATGAAAATTATAAACGGCGGTTATTCGACTGAACGTGCCGCGAATCAAAGAGAATCCGATAAAATCCAGCGTCTACCGAGGTATACCGGGGGATTAGATGAAGAGAATCCGGAGCAGCGAAAGACACGCGAGGGAAGAATCGAGGGAGAAGCGAGAGAGGGAGCTTCGTGGAAGAAGAGGGAGAAAAAAGTCCGCCTGGAGCGAGTCGTTTTTCCAGGCCGCCAGACTACTACAATCAGGAATTCTAAAGTTCACGGATGGCAACGAAATGTCTCTCCGGGCTCTAATAGCCGTACATTCTCATAAAACCTCTCTCCTCCCTTCGCTTACCTCTTTGCCGTTGAGGATAAAGACGAGCCGCGCTGGAGGGTAGCTGGCCGCGGAGCTGCATTCCGCTTGAAGTGTCTCGCCCGCCTCGTAAGACGGCCGGAGCCCGCGCAGGCTGGGTGGTTCATTCGGCGGTATGGCCACGCTCATGTTCGCCTCGCCGTAGATCGTGAGGAAACTCGGCCCCTCCGACGACACCTCGCAACCGTACGACCCCATGAGGTTCACTTTACCTGTAAGTAAACGTGCCATAAATCTTTTCTTTTCCCAGTTCCACTTCGGCGACATTCGACTGACGCCCACACAGATTTCCGGGAGCGAAGAATTTCGCCGCCCGGATAGAAAATCAAACAACGCGACGGATCGCGAGTAACACTTCATTTACGACTGATAATGGATGCAATCGTGTTTACACAACAACGCGCGAACAACAATGATCGAAAACGTTATTTTAATACGTCGTGTAAACTTTATTCGAATTCGCGGCGTATCGAATGGTCGACGCGTCCCGGTGTCGGTCCAATTAACGCGCTCGTTTCACGAACGTATAAATTGATTAAAAAAAAAAAAAAAAAGAAAGAAAGGAGAAAAAAAGACAAATTTTTATTTCCCCGTCTCTGTTGAAACCTTGATCCGTCCGAATGACAGTTAAAGAGGACGTTTTAAACCGAATAAATCGAAATTGTACGTGCATCGTTATCGTCGTCTGGTCCCACTGTTAAACTAGAAAAATGCAAGAAAGGAGCATCGAGCGATCGTGCAACAAACAACAAGTGTTGCGTTTCGTATCTTCACTTTAAAAAAAAAATGTTCTCGCCAGTTCGAACCTTTGGAAATTTCCTTTAAACGCGTCTGCCCCTCCCACTACCATCGATCGTCCCCGTACAAACGAAATTTCCCTCGCCTCGAGTTCACGCGAACAATATCCAGACCGAAATGAATCACCCCCGGGCCCGACAGCGCCCTTTGACACCGCCAATCTCGAAAAAAAAAGCGCCGCAGTTCAAATAAAATTACCATGACGCCAAGAGTTACCTCTCTTTCACGACTTGCAACACGCTCTAATTCCCTCCAAGGAAATGTTCGATCGTCGCCGCGAACTCCATCGAACCAGGTTAAACACGAAAAACTCGGCGTGCTCCTTTTCCCCCCTGGGGCTCCTGATTCGAAAAGCGTACTCCACCGTGGTTTCTAACCTGTTAACCTCGACAGGGATCTGATTCGATGATCAGTCGCGCGTTTCTCTTTCTCCCTCGTCCCAACGATTCGCGGTAATTATTTATTTATTCGCGCGGGTGGACGAGGGATGTTCGTGGCTGCGGGAAACTAGGCGAAACATAGACAAATATAGAAATTTCGCTCGCGACGATAGGAAAGTTCGTTGGTTATTTAAGTGAAATTTCAACCAGTCCTCTTTAACTTTCGTCGTTCGCTCCAAGTTTCTCGAGATCATCCCCCCATCCCGGTTGGAATTACCAGCTTCGATTTTAATCTGAGATTGCAAGACGACGTCGCGGGGATCGGAGGTTTCTTTTTTTTTTTTTTTTTTTTTTTTTTTTCTTTCTTTTTGGATCGACGTCGTTAAAATATGCTTTGAGTTCACAGTTTCGAATACTCGAGCTTTCGTTTACGTCTCAAGCGTTCAAAAAACATTGAGCTGTAAAAGCTACATAAATTGATTCGAGCTGTCTAAATTGTAATGACGATTATAAACAGCATTAATGGACTATCAAATGTTAAATATGTCGACTATACTGACATGTCTTTCACAGAATCAGGAGCTTCGAAAATTAAGTCTTAAACCTTCAGTCTTGAAGCTTTGAAAGCTTGAACTTCGTATAATGTTAGTCTTATAAGCTCAATCTTAGAGTCTTGAAGCTTTACATATTTTGAATCGTGAGTCATTGTGTTGTGAAATAAGTTTTTCATGCATTTAAGAGGAATTTTTATTTAATGATTGTTCAAGTTTCCTGAATTTTCAAATTTTTACGCAGAGACGTTACTAGTCAGATACATCATTCAATTACTATTGAAGAGTTTTTAATTTGACAATTCAAAATTGAGAATATATTGTTTCTTTTATTAATCTACAGTATCTTACAAGTGTAACGATTTGTTTACTTTAAAATTCAATATAAAGGCACCAAATTAATCTCTGCACACTAACAATAACTTTTCGACATGTTCGGATTAATACTTTTTTACAGACGATATCAATGCAGTTAAGAACATAATAAAAGTTACTGTTCGCAATCCCACAGAAAAATTAATATTTAACGTCCGATAGTACCTCGACAACCATCCATCTCTGATTGTAACTGCGAATAATAATTATGACGTAAATTAAGATGGTAATATTAGGTAAGACACTCTGTGAAATACAAATGGTATTTGGCTCTAATGTTAGCTAATAACTTGTTCCTACAATTCGTCATTATGAATGAAAAATGGAGAAATCAAATGAGAAAAATAAAAGAAAATCGGTCACAAAAATTTCGTATACTATTTTAGTAAAGTAGAACCCATTCTTCTTCACAAGTTGCCAGAAACTCATTAAAAAATTAGTCCATTGTCCTTTGAAATTTTTGTTGTACGTTTGCGCCAGTTCTCGTGTTGGATGAATATTTACAGTTTGTTTGCAGGAATGTAAATACGTATTTACTTATGTCCATTGCTGTGCGTTTACACAGTACGTGTAATTAGTATAATGTAATTATGTATTGTAATAGTATATATATATATATATATATATATTACCATGCTTTTTGTTACACCTAAGGGACCACGAAAGCTAAGTAAAGACAGACGGTCCAATTACTCTCGTCATACTGCTTGAAAACGAAAGGCTGGGCGTTTGAACGAGCGTTTTCTGGATGACACGCGTTTGTTGCCACGATTCGCCAACAATTTCGAAATAAATAGACGAAAGTTCAGATACATTTCTGTCGTATTTGCGTTGAAATTTCAATGGTCGTTGTGGTCAATTGATCTCTAAAATTTAAAGCGTTCAGGTTTATTTCGTAGTTTTACGTTCTTCGTGCCAGAAATTGGTAATGAAATTCAATTAAATTGAGGATTACAGTAATTTAATCCTAAATTGTTGTGCTTCCCAATGGTCAAGAGTTAATTATTTCGTAATTTCGCTACGCGCCAATTCTTGCATATTTTCTATTCTAATCACTAAACTACGAATGTCTTTGCAAATTCTAATTTTTGAGAACATAGCAAATGAAACGGAAAAATTATTTGACACTTTAAATATCATAGAAAACACGCTTTGGGCATTTTATATATTTTCTCGCGTTAAGTGCGTTAAGTGCATAATCTCTTGCTCTAAAATGCATAAAATTGGCAGTACCAATCGACAACTAGTTCAATTGTACGTTGTTTGTCGCGTAAAACAAACAGGATCCAAATGTCATATATCATCTGTTAACTATTATCTAAGTCGTTGTAAAAAAAAAAGAAAAAAAAAAAAAAAAAAGAAAATGCACAGTGTCTCTGGCAACGTGTTAAAGTTTAACAAGAGGGATCGAAAACTCTCCATTTGTACCTTTTGGTCGAACTCATCTGGCAGCAGACGCGTAAAACGGGGTGTAACCTTTCGCGTAAAGTGTGAAGCGAGTCTTTCGCCCGCATCTCGCACGGCGTATACATAAACTTCACCGTACATGTATATCTCACCGTTATATACTTGTAACGCAGTACCGCTAGCTGTAAGCGTTTCTACGAAGCCGAGAAGTACGACAAATTGTCGCGCGTATCTACGTAAAACGTAATGTAACGATCACTTAGCCGTTAAAAACGGGCGCCGATCCGACATTTAACGTCGTTAGCCGACAGTTATGAAAACTAGCCGTCACGTCTTCTCCGTTTAAGGGATTTTTTACGAATGTACATAGTTAAGGACCTGGAACTTTATAGCGACGATTCTTATTCCACTCGTTGTAGCGATTTATTAAATTAATGAGAAACTCTCACCTCTTCAATGCTATTCGTGAAAGTTATTACGGCGAGCGACGCGCGGCGACCATATCCAATCCTGCGATCAGATTCTATCGTGAATCTTCCATATCCGAATTCCCATTATCCGAGCACTAATATCCTCCACGTTCTACCATCGGACTATTCGGTTTTCCAAGCAGGATGTGTACTAGTAATAGATTACCTTTATTGGTAGTAAACTAGTATTCTGCACGCACGTGTTACTGTATACATTCGACGTGCATCTCGCAATTGTAAAGAGAATTTATTAAAACGCGAGCTAATAGAGATTTCATTGGAAAAAGAAGAGAAGAGAATATTGATTTGGGAATATATCCGCGATTGTAAGGGAAGACGGTGCATGTCGTGTTTGGAGAGATATTATTGTTTGAAGTTCTTCTTATTAGAGAACATTTTCCTTGTTTCTTTTTGCGATATAAACCTAACTTTGCATGGTATAATACGGAAAGTGCATTGTTTCTCTCGTTTCAAAAAATTCCATGATATTGCACACTCCGGCTTATATATGTAATATTTTTTAAAATATTTTTAATTAATATTTATATCACGTAATCTCTATTTAAAACCGAAATTAATTTTTCTTAAAATTCACATTCATCTATATTTACTGGTATTGTTAGGCTTTTTTTCTGGCGACATTCTTTGGGTGGTGATTTTCTACCATGTTCACAGTCTTTATATATATCTAAAATAGTATTTACATCTTTATATATATATATATATATATATATATATATATAATAGTTTCAATTCTATAAGAGTCGTGAAATTATTATCAGAAAATCTTCATCGATTGTATTTATTTCGATTTTCAGTGAAATACTGATTTCGATACGTAACAACCAGTGTCAAAAGTTTCAAGCCACTGTTTAAAACGCGCAAAATGACCAAGCAAAGTTGTAAAGGAGTCGCTATCGATTCACAAAAATTTGGATGGTTCGACGATCTGAATTGAGACTGGCACCCCTCTGACTGTATCGCGTCGAAAGCGAAACGCCATGAAAACTCAGCGATGCTGAATCGAGGCACCGAAATAGGCAAAAAACGGGATGACAAAAGGGTGAAATAATCGAGAGCTGGCCGGTTTTATGCCACGAAACCGTTCAATTATATTCGGCTCGGGCGTGGAACGGCCGCGAAACAGCCCTTTCATTCCTGAAAAAGAAAAAAAAAAACCCTTTTCTTCTGCTCGTTTTAAGTAACCGTCGACGTCACATTTCCAAGGAGCCGTTTTAATTAATCCACCGGCGGACCGACGCTAATTACCCCTCTTTGCAGCGAGA